TTTAATTTAATGATTAAAACTTAGAATCTTTTTCTTTTAATTTACTTTATTTTATATTTTTCATTCTGTATTACGAAATATTAGTCTTGGAACATGATTCATAAGAGTCTCAAATATATCACTTTCTTTTATATTAAGACAAAATTAAAGTTAATAAAGTTACGGTAAAAAGTTGTAAAACTAAAGCGTTACAATACAATTAAAGAGAGAAAGTAAAATGATGTTAAATAATTAGGTAATTTTCAACGATTAGATTAATTTCAAAAAAGCATGCAATATTCAAATGTCTTTGCTTGATGGTAATTTAGTTCGTTGAATTTTGCAATAAAATTCAGTGTGTCTACATCATACATGCCCGCAGGTGGCTAGTTCCTTATTTTTTGGGTTTTTCCTTTTGTCAATAAAAAATTTATATATATATATATATATATATAAAGAAATTAACCGGTGGACGCCCAACTTGGGACGAAAATGCATTCATACCATTTTACCCTTAGGCATTGAAAAAAAAAAATTCTACTATTATTTTTTTTAAAAACAATCAGTTTAACATTTACAATTCACGCATACACTAATACATATTTGAACTTTTTTAAAGAGATGGTGTTGTCACTAAAATAACTTACCATTAATAATTGATTATTCTGCAGCCAAATGCTCTTGATTTTTCAATTTTTTAGTAATATAATTATAATAAATATGCCCTTTTTTCACTATTATTAATAACTGTGAAAATACATTGTAAATTTTTAATACAAGGGCAGTAAAAAAAATATTTAGAAAATGGTTAATCTTAATATTTACTAAGTAGAATATTTACCTTTTTGTATTTATTTACATCTTGACTTAACGTTGTTTAAGTCAATTGGATGACTCCCTTTATAAAATATATATCTCCCTTCCCTTATATAGTGATTGAAAGTAATGTGTCATTGAAGTAAAGATAAATAATATTTAATAGTGATTTGACTTAATATAGTTATTTTATCAAATCAAATATTACATCTTAATGTTTGTTTCTTGCCAAAAAAAAATTAACATAAAAAATTAGAGTTGACGCAAATAGACCATTGAAAGGATATAGATAGAAAGTAGACTCATGCTCCGTTTTGAACTATTTATAGGCAAATTAATTCTTGAGCCAGTCCCTAATTAAATTCTATCTTTATTTGTCCCGCATTTTAAAATTCATTTAATCTAAGGGAAAAATGGTGAAAAAAACCTTGAAAGCAAAATTAGTCCTAATGACCAAATGCAATTCAAGAACTAAATGTAATATTTTATTCATTAAAAAATATGCACAGATGACCAAAATACCCTCTTTTTAAAACAATGAAATTGAAAAAAAAAAAAACAAAGGCTACTTGTTCAACACATGCACCCATAACCAAAAGCCTTACACCCTGAGCCAAAAGTCTTACACTCTACTCAAAAATCTTGCACCCAACCCAGAAGCCTTACACCCCAATGCAGAGGCCTTGCACCCCAAAGGCTAGAGGTGCAAGCCTTCTGGCTTATGTGCAAGCCTTTTAGGTTGTGGTGCAAGCCTTCTGGGTTGGATGCAAGACCTCTGAGTTGGGGTGCAAGACTTCTGGCTAAGTTGTAAGGTGTTTGGGTTGAGGTGCATGGCTTTTGACATGAGTGCAAAGCTTCTGGTTAGGAGTACAAGGCTTTTAGCTGGGATTCAAGATTTTTGGGTTAGGGTGCGAGGCTTCTTGATTGGGGCGCAAGACTTCTGGGTTGGGATGCAAGGCTTTTGATTGAGGGTACAAGACTTCTAGTTTGAGTGCAAGGCTTCTGATTGAGGGTGCAAGGCTTCAAACTCAAAGTGTATGTGTTGAACAAATAACCTTTTTTTTTCGATTTCATTCTTTTAAAGAGAGGGTATTTTGGTCATTTGAATATATTTTTTAATAAATAAAATATTGCTTTTGGTCCTTGAATTTCATTTGGTCCTTCTGATTAATTTTGCTTTTAACAAGGTCCTTTTCATCAAATTTCCCTTAATCTAATCCCCCTACATTTAATAACTTTATTAATGAATCTAGGGAGATAATAAAGCCACCTCGCAAAGAATAAAAAAAAAATCACATTATATTTCCCACATTTATACATTCAAGGAGAGAGTAAAAAAAAAAAATGTTTGGTCATGCACAGTATATCCCTTCTCCATGTCTCCCCCCTAAAAACTTCAGATACACTTTTGTTTATATAAGAGATGCATATTGGGGAGGAAAACTCTACCTCCATGCTGCATTTGTTAGCACCATGTGTCAAATCCCACTTTTAACAATTTTTCTATGCAACTAGAAGCAACATAGTTCAAGCGAAGTGAAAATTGAAACCCATACATTAAAATTTTTAAATTAATAATCAGGTTACTATTCAATGAGAAATCTAGAATTTTTACTGAATTTTGAAAAATCTTAACTAAATATAGACAAATCACATGAGGATAGTATAAAATTCTCTTGAAATCTCTTGAAGTCTTATATGATAAAAATACATTTTAAACCTTCTTGCGTTTAAAATAGCATAGTTTATTTATTTTTCTCTAACTTCTCTGTTTTAGTGACAGAATCTATGCCATAACTTAAAAAATTATACAATGCAACAATAACATTGCCCAGAATAGAGCCTAATCTAGATAGTCTTGAATATGCGTCATGTAATTATTGTCTCAAGAATATTTTATGACACCATATTGGCCATCATGCATTTTAACACATCAATTAAGCATGTCAAGGTCACATCAATAATTTACATAGCTCATGAAATTACTTATATATTTTTCATTTTCTATAAAAGTAATGCTATATGAAATTCATCCTCCCTTCCACCTAGTTTTGCTTCTTGCTTTAGATCTTCCTTTGGTGGCTTATAACCTAGTCCTTTGGTTAGTCATTAAGATGAGATTCAAAAGAATCTTAGTAGTGAACAATATCATTCAAGCATACAAGGCAAAACCTTCATACTTCACATACATTTGTATTACATGACTTCATAACTAATATATTAACATGTTACATGCTCCATGTTTCATACATCATACATGGACCATGAAACACTTAAAAACAAAGCTTCAAACATTTATTCATGATTCATATAATATTAAAAAAACAAAGCATATATATTATCATACAAGTATAAATATCAAGTATGTAATGAAGGGTAAGTTTATTACCTTTCATTTTACCATTACTTCTTTGATTTTCCTACTTCCATAACTTGATCCGCCATAACCAAACCTCCAATTCCTTTTCGATGACACTCATTGGCCGTGAATATTTGCCTATAGGATATTAATTATAATTGTTAGAGTCAATAATCACATTATTAATACATGACAACTTCTCTCTATTTAAGTCTTACTTTCTTTATATTATTTTTCACTTTATTTTCTTTGACATAAAATTCTTGTATTATCATTTTCCCACTCAATTTTTCATGTGAAATTCATTTTTGAACTCAAATATAACAAATTCCATCTCCTTCCCCTTGAACCAACATTGGCCAGAATTATGGGTATTTAAGACCCTATATGCTGCATTCAAATTGCAAGGAAGCAAAAGCAATCTTGGACTCAGTTGCTTGATCAGAATACCAATTCATTCAGCATATCTCAGATTTTCCAGGAATTTTTTCTCAGAAGCCAGTGGCGAAGGAGCCCGCTGAGGACCTTGCTGGTTCTGGTGACAGCAACCACATTGATTTAGCTAAAGGAATCCAACCATGAATCTGTTGGTTGAACATGAACCGGAGTACCTCAGAAAAGAGTCAACATGTTGCTGGCAATGATATCTCTCGTGCTCCAATAGCTAAGGAAAAATGTGACAGACGCACAAATGAAACATCCACTACAGATGTTAAAATAGGTGAGACATGCTCGTTTATAAGGAGTGCTGCTTCTTTGAAAGAGTGGGCTAAAACTAAAGCTGCTCTGAGTGGATCACTCAAAAGGAAACGTGGGGAGAAGAAAGAGCATTAAGTTCTTTACGGCTGACATCATGACTGTGGTTGGGTTAAGATGAAGATGAAGTGCAAGAGTTGGGGGTAACATTCTTTATAATCATTGTTACCTTCTTGGATCTGACCAAATTTTTTGCATGCATCATCTTTTAGTTGAAGAATCCTATAACAAATATATAAAAACCAGAGTTCCCCTCCCCCCACCCCTTCCTACAATTTGCATGGTTGACTCCTGGACATTGCTGTTTGTATCATATTATGCTATTAACTTCATTAAATTGTCATGTTAATCGCTAGAAGTAATTGAAATCAAATTAATTTTTTACAGTTTGTTGACATCAATTTCGACTTGATAAATTGTGTCATCGGAATCTGTTGGAGACTAAAATGGGGATCATGAACTTTGATTTGATTTAGTTGAACGTCATCAAGACCAAATTGTTATAAAATAATTGATTTCATCTGAGGAGAAATATATAATAGTGATGTTTCATGTATAGTTGGGAGTTCAAAGTTTTTTTCCCCCTATGGGAATACGGATTAAATAGGGGTTACAAAAGGATAGGGTATCATCTTGATAAAGACTTGCTGGCATAATTGAAGTCTCAAAACTGAGGTAGGAATTCATAGTCAAAAATCTCAAGAATGGTAATAATTTCAAGAATAATGAGAACGAATATCTGAACAAGAGATGCAGAAAAGTAGTCTTTTGTGGCTTCTGGATGAGTCACTTGAGTTCAACATCTGGAAGCAAAATACAAGTGCTATCATTCGTTGAACATTAAAAGGTTGCTTCGAATTTATCAGAAAACTAAGCTTGCGAAATTTGACCATAGTCCTCTCGTAAATTGTCATTTTCCGAGAAATAAAGCTAAATTGTTTCGATGTACAGATATGATTTAACATATGATCTTTTACGCAAATCACTGCACACCCATGGTACCTGTAAATCAATGACACTTGCTGATATTCACCATGACAGTAAAGATTTTCCTGGGAAAGTGAAAATTTATGAACCCTTAACACATGAATTCATTTTGAATCATAAATTTATCTCCTTGAGCACATTATGCAAAAGCGCATTGAACGACAAATGTAGACGAAAAATGTTAACAAAGAACACAGTTGCTAAGAAAGCAACGACTCAGAATGCGAATAGCAATCACAGACCACATTCTCATCCAATTTTATAATAAATATAAACTAGAATTGCTAGCGTTTTCATTGACAGGATTCCTAAAATCAAATTCAGTACACATGCATGCCACCAGGGTGTAGTTTAGTGGCGAAGGGTGAGAAGTTAGCTACTTTTTAACTTCAAAACTTTGCTCCTTCATGTGACCAAGAACTTCAGTACAAGTTCAATGACTCAAGCACCCTGCGAGCTTGGATCTGTAGAGCTGTTAATCTCTGCTCAGGATCCAGGGTTGACCCAAACTGACTTGCTGCCCAAATCAAGGAAGCTGATTTCTCCCCAAGCAGATGCCTTATATCTTCATGTACTGATGCCAAAGGAGCCCCATCCCTTCCATTGACGTGTCCAATGAGAAGCAACAAAAACTCCCCACATTTCAACCTGAGGAATGAAATTTTCTCATTAATGCAACTCGAGTCATGCAAAAATGGTTGAAACACAGCATGAAAAACAGGGTGGAAAAATTATTTAGGAATAATAATATCCAAAATAAAACTATTTTACACTTATGGTCTCCTTCCAGGGAATAAGCATGCAAAAACCAGATTTCAAAACTGAATAAACAGCAATCCATAAGAACTCCTTATATAAAGTGCCCAAAAAAAAAAAAAGATATATAAAATAATGAATTTTTAAAATCAACTATTCATAGGAAGTGTGCATGGGTTTGAAATTCTCGTTTACAAAAGAAATACCCCTAGCATTACGCTGAGCCATAAAAGACAAAACATAGTATATGCGGTCATTTACATAAAGTTGAAAAAAGCATCACATATATAATATGATTTGGAAAGTAAATATGATATTTTCATCCAATATTATATAAACAATAAAATGGAAGGAAAGCTAATTCAGAGTAACTGGAGTTATGAATTGCAATCTCCAAAGCAAGGGGCCCAAATATGATCAACATGTGACTATTTGTCATGTTGCACAGTGAAGATCCACAGCAGACACCGTTCAAACAAGTGTGAATATGAGTGAGACTAGATGGACAAAGAACAAGCAGTACCTGAGATTTTCATCTGCCTGTTTGTCTCTTATGAGGTCTGCAACTTCCATAATGCCATTAGATTTCTCAAAATCCTAATAAATCATAAGCAAACGAGATGCAGCTTTTAGAAGCCATAAATCATTAGAAAAAGAGATGCAGATTTTAGAAATGACAGAACAAGAATGTTCTATGCAGCAAACCTCAGACAAACTCTCAGCTAAGTATCAAGACGTAAGATCATCTGACCTTTATTGGTAAGCCTTGAAGTTAAGCCAATACACTCATTTCTTTTAGCTTCTTCAAACAAAAATAAAAACTCAAAAATAAGATTACTTTTCTTTTGAGTGTTTGACATGCCGCGTGCAGAAATCCTATATACCAAGATTTTAGAAATTATGAATCCAAGTATGAATTTGATCTGGAAAATTGAAACACAGGGATCTAGAATTCCTATATATTTGAGCCAATCTTGTATCTTAAACTCATGATACTAAGGAATTTAGGACTTTTTCGTACCAAATTCCTTAGGTAAACCTCTGCCAAACACTAGTATTCATGTGTTCTGACCTATGAAAAGATTAGTCCACACATTCAACTGATACACAGACAAGAGAGTTCTACCATTTGATTGGGCGGTGAATCCACCATTATAGAGATTAGAGCGTCCAAACATGCACTTTGCTCAAGTACTCCCCGAGTGGATAATATATTCATCAAAACCTGCAAGGTAAGAAACAATTTGATTCCCTCTGTCCATGCATTTAGTCACAGTGCAACGTCCAAAACTGTATGAACATGATATGGGATAAAGTTATTTGCATGCTTCCCTTTGGGTTTTTGCTCAATAACTCAAGCAGACTCATTGTTCAAAAGAATTGGAGGTTTTATTATATTATTCTTAATGTTTTGATTTTACATCATTTGTGCATGCATGCTTCATTAGTTCTAATATATTTTAAAGACCAAGGCAGTTCGTGACCCCTATCTTCATTTAGTGGACTTGAGCCAAACCTTATCAAGAGTTAAAATTACATTAATGGTGTTAAAAAAGATTAGAATAAACAATTGCTAGGCTCACTTGGTTTCAAGGAACATCATCAATCAGTTACAATCTTTTAAGTTAGGACAGCATCCTTCTACTTTCTGAAAAGCAATATTTAAAGAGTGCCAAACTTTAATTAATGAAATCTTAATAAGGTCATAGGATAATCATAGGATCAAAATAAATGACAGACCCCCTATTACTAGGGCATGCATCTGTAAATGTATACCCAAGCACAAAGGAAACAAGGACATCTAGAAGGAAGACAGTTTAACGAATTTAAGGAAAGGGTCAGATGCACGTGAAGGCTAATACATTGTTTTTGTGTCATCAATTGCAATCTGTTAGTCAGAAGAGTAAGAGAGCAAAGAAAGGAAAATAAAGACAAGGATAAATCGTCAGTTTGGATTTTGAAGACCTCTAGCTTCTCAAAGTACAAGAGACTTTCCTTTTTTTTTTTTTTCAACTTTTTCTGCTACAGCTGTGTCCTTTGAGCTGGATTTTTTTCCCAATCAATGATTACAGGATTGGCTGAGTTTATCATTCAATGATGGAGTTGGTGGATGTGTTATTAATTTCTCTCTTCATAACTATATGGGCACCATCAATTTCTTTTGCAACAAAATATGATTATTCAATCCTGCTAGGCCACACCTTTGTTCTCTCTAAGAACGTAATGAAGGCACTCAAAGAACAGTTGAATGCTAAGTTTTGGGGACGTCATAACAAGATCTAAATTCTCGGTAAAAGCATAAAGCGATTGTCTAACTCTAAGGAGGATAGTGATTGGTGTCCCATGTTTAAGAGAAAGGTACTCCGGGGGTGAAGCAAATAACATTCAAAATATGTTAAAGCTACCACATACAAAAATGCATTGGTACCTGAATTGCCTTGTGTTGATGGGCGAGAGAGTTGCTCCGGGGGTGAAGCAAACAACAACCTTCCAAGACTCGTAGCGCCAATGCAACTTCAGCATCCGTTGATGGACTTGTTATCTTCATTGGTTCCACACCAAATATATGATTCAAATTGGCCACCCTATCGTCGTTGTAGTCATCTCCAGACTCTTTTAGAGAGTGTTGAAAGAGTACTGGAACCACTGTATAGTAAAAACCAGCTGAAATTCAAAACCAAACAGACTAAAAAAATAAAAAAGCGATCTCCCAATAACACAACACAACTTACATACCTTGAAGTTCGGGGATAGATTGGGTTTGATTAAAGAGGTCAATAGTTGCATCAGATTCAGCCACATTCCGGAGGAACTTGAGAATAGAACGAAGTCCACGGACTCGAAGAAATGAGAACTCAGCACAAGCATCTCGGAGACCTGTTCTAAGAGCAAGAGTTACCTCCCTGTATACTCTCTGTTGGTTAAGAGAGTTCACGAGCTCCCCCACTGCCGTAGAGGCCGGTGTATCTCCATCAGACTCTTTTGATTCTCCTTTCCCTTCTTGAAATTTTTCACTCCACAATGGCCTCTTCAAATACATCCCTATTATTGCCCTTCAATTTCGTTCAATTCTTCCACTTTATCTGACTATTTGCACCAAGAAGACTACAACAATTTCTTCAAGCCAGTAACAAATGAATCCTGGTTATCTTCGTATTCTCATGTATTCAAATTGCTCCAATTTTTCATAAAATAAAAACCAAATCATTCCAACTGACAGATTGAGCAGCACAGTAAAGACATTCATAATTTCTGGAAACTGATGGGCTCAAAATGTGCTCACGCTATGATGGATTGTATTCCAATAGAAGCTTAACATGGCAAATGCCATCAATTGCAGTTCCCATATATACACATTGGAGAATGTTCAAAATTAGGGATTCTGAAAATCGCAAAAGATTCCGAAGCTCAAAAATGAAACCGGGGGGGGGGGGGGGAGATCCGAGAAGAAGATGAGAGGAAGGATTCTGATTCACCTGTAGATGTGCGAAGGACAGTGTCTCCTTCGTCGCGTTATGCAGCTTTGCGTCTGCCCCAGCGCTACATTATTTCCTGTTTGTTTTTTAAGAACTAGCGCATTTCGAGCCATTTTTAAGTAATTTCTGCAACAGTTAATATTATTAAAAATACTTATTTTTTTATATTTAGTGTTATTTAATAAAATAATTTAATCATAAATAAATATAAATATCTGATTAATTTTAAATACTTATTAAGGACATTGCTGGAAGAATCTCATTAATTACTTGTATCTTTTTTTTTTGGCCAAAAACTAAAATACAGTACCTTATATTTTTAAATAACATTTATTAACAAATGTCATATAATTCCAAAGAGAATGAGCATATATTATCAAAAATAATTAATAAAATATGAATAGAGAATAAGGGAGAAAATAAGTAAAGAGAATGTTAATGTGTGTTTAAACAAATAATTAATGAATTTATTTCAATGAAAATGTTCGACTAGTTATTTCTTTCCTCTTTTTTTGTAAAAAATAATAATAAAATCTTTCCTAATTATATAAATAATAATTTAATTTTTTAAAATTTCATAATTATATTGAAATTCTTAAGAACCTCTTTGTCAATAAATTTTAAATTAAAAAGATTATTTTACCTTTACTAAAAATAACAAGTTCAAATCACAACTTTAGTTTAAAAAATCACAATTTTTATTTTGTAAATCGCAAAAATTAAATAAGAAATTACAATTTATCAACTGTAATTTATATTATTAAAAAATAAATTCTAATCATAACTTTTATTTAAGGAATAATAACTTTTTTTTTTGTAAATTGCAAGAATTGAATAAAAAATCACAATTTGTCAATTGTAATTTCTATTAAAAAAAAAAGTTCTCAAAATAACAAACCACATTCATAACTTTTATTTAAATAATCATAACTTTTATTCACAGAATCATAAAAATTGAACAAGAAATCGCAACTTATTAATAAAGGTAAAATAAACTTTTCAATTTAAAATTTATTAATAAAAAGGTACCTAGAGACTTCAGTGAAATTATAACATTTTGAAAGACTATATTGTTATTTATATAATTTAAAAGAATTTTATTATTATTTTCTCTTTTTTTATTGTCATCCCATTGTTTTGAAACCTCATCCTCCTTGGACATGTTTGGATGATGAATGATCAAATAATTGATTAAATTAATCACTTAGGGTTGATCAAATTTTTGTTTTAAATTTAATGATTGAAACATAGAATCTTTTATTCTTTTAAGGGTTAAAGATAATTTTTGTTCCTAAATTGTACACAAAAGGTCGCAACTGATTCTAAATTCAACTAAGTTAATTTTATTCCTTAACTTTAAAAAATCCCTTCGCCATCACCTTAACATTAAAAACACTTTATATTCATTAATCATCAATGAGTGCCACTATTTTTTTTCAAATTAAAGGTCATTTTTACCTTTCAACTCAAATATTTTATAATAAAATATTAAAAATATAATGTGAGACCCCCTAATGATCAACTAATAGTGACAAAATGGTAGGGTGATAAAGAAGGGAATCTTTAAAGTTGAGGAACAGAATTGACTCATGATTGAGTTTAGAAACATTTATGACCTGTCGTATAAAGTTTAAAAATAAAAGTAACCCTTACTCCTTCTTTCAATTTGCTTTATTTTATATTTTTTTTATCCATATCACAAGTCTTTGGTCTTCTAATACTTTTCTTGAGGTTATTGGCCAAAAGTAAAACAAATCTTTCCTACCATTATTTTTTTTTAAATAATCAATTTAATATTGGGAGAATTCCTAAAAAATCCCTCATTGAAAGGGAAAGTATGCTCAAGGACCAAGAAGAATTTAAAGATTAAGCCAAATATTTTATTCATAAAACAAGCTGTGCAATTGATCGAAATCACCCTCTATGTTAATTAAGAGAATTAAAAAAAGCACAAAATCTAGTTGGAGCTCTGATCCCTCCTCTAGTAGGTGATGGTGTGCCTGCCGAAGCTCTGCCTTATCGGTTAAGGGTCATCGGAAAAAATCAATATCCTTTGATTACCTGTAAGCATCAAAGATTACATTAAAACTCAACAACTAGAGGTAAAGTAAATGTCAATGCCTACACCCTTGCACCTCAAAGCCTATAAGCTTGTACATTGCACCTTAGGCCTATACCCTTATCATCTTGCACCTTGCACCCCAAGCCTATAAGCTTGCACATAAAGCCTATCATCTTATACCTTGCAACCAAAACTTATACCCTTATACCATAAGCTTATCACCTTACTCCTTCCATCCAAAACATATCTCCTTGTACTCAAAACTTATACCCTTCCACTCAAAACCTATAACCTTGTACACAAAGTCTATCACCTTGTATCCCACACTATCTATACCCTTACACCCAAAGCCTATGCCATTGCACCTTACACCTTAAGTCTATCCTTTTACACCACAACCTACAGCCTTACATCCCAAGCCTATACATGAGAGTCTAATATTTTTCAATATAATATATAATGCTTAAATGTAAATACATGTTTTCCATATAAAAGTCCTATGTTTAGTTCAATACATTAGAGTCACAGCATCATTTTGATCTCTTCCAAGAAATTGCTCCTTTTTTCATGAAAATCTGTTGTTTACCATATAATGATTGACTACTAGGGATCATACGCCCTCTATTTACAAGAAACCTATTGTATACCATGTAATCTCATATTTGGATTGCTAGCATGACAAATACAATATGCTTGTTTAATATACAACTGATAAGAGATAAGTGCACCAAAACAAATTGATTTTAGATACAATTTTTGAGACACAAGAATATGATCCAATATGAGACCAATTGACTGGAACTTAAGTAAGCATAGGAAAATGCTTGACCAATTGTGAGTGCAAATCTGCTTCTAAGTGAGTGCAAATACTTGATCTGCAACCACTTGTGTTCAACAACAAACACATTCGAAAATCAAAATGTCCAACTTACGTATAACTAATGCATGCACATCAAAGGAGGGTCAAGTGCAAGAATTGCCCCACTAATTGATAAATGCCCAAAAGAAAGCAAGTACAAGAACACAATATACATTATCAAATGTCCAAGCAATAAAAAGCAAAATGACATTTAAGACATGTGAACTTCTCCTAGATCCTTTCTTGCTTATCACCTCCCTCTCAATTTGTTTAAAGTTCAACTGCACTCCCAAACCTAATGTAAATTTTATTCTTCCTGCATTAAAGGAGAGGAAGATTTCATCAATAGAAATACCATCAAGTCAGACACTCTAATGCTAGAAATAGATATGGAAGTTCCATCAAATGTATCTAATGCAACACAAATAATTACAGAACTATCATCTACTCTATTCCTTTGTGGCTTAGTAACTTTCTACCAAATCTAACTACGATCTCACTAAGCCTTTTCTGGATCTATTATGATCCTTAGGATCTAATAGCGATCCTTCTCTAGAAGACTTAGGATGTAAGGATAAAGTTGTTAAATAACTCTGTCTCTTATTAATCAGGAACTTTACTAATTATTCTCTAAGACTAATCTTAGATACCTCTGTTACCCTCTTAAGCCTTATTTATTCTTTTGTTTCCCTATTTTGGACACTTCTAGACTTTAACTTTCTCATTTCTCAATTCCAAACACTTCCTTGAAGTCTATAAAAATATTGCGCTTTTTCCCTATGAAGACTTTTAAGTTATGAGGTCCCTAAAAGTCATTCTATCTTTTTCAATGCACTTTCAAGGACTCTAGATTGATTGGGCTTAGTAGATTACCAAACTTTGCAATATTCTTGAGCTTCTAGGCACAAAATTTGGGATGTTACAATTCTTTTCCCTCATTAAAATTTCACCTTCAAAATTTAAGGATTAAACCTCTATTCATGTCATTCTTGATAATGTAAATTTCTTTACTAAGAAAATATATTAGTTGTTACTCTTTTGACTCCACTTGTTGCCTTTCTACTTTCTTTGATATAGGGCATTCTTTCTTGTTACTATTTGCCTTTTCATGCTTTTATTGCACAAACTCTACTACTTACACTATTACTTATCCTTTACTTACTGACTTCTGCCATCTTTTATTGTCTCTTGCTTATATGGTAGTATTCTTTGCTGAAATATTTGTTTTTTTTATCTAAGTTGTTAGTTTCATGCCAAAACATTTCTTACTTTTCTAACTTCACCTTGGCTTTGAGTTGAAATTTTTGCTTTCCAAAGTCTGTTTATACTCTTATTTCATACTTCTTTGTTACTTTTACCAAGTCTTTTCTATTTACATAGGCATTTTTAGCTTTTCCTTGAAGCTTTAACTCTTTATACTCCATCTATTCATTTTATTTGTAACTCTTTCTATTCTTCTTACATTCCTATCTCATATATAGCTTGCTTGAATACATCTGCAGGTTTAAGACTTAAAGCTTCAAACTCTGCCAAATCTTACTTACATCTACTTGCTTGACTTGTTGTTCTGCTTTCAATGGAAACTTGAGTCATTGTTTGGTCTCAATTAGGTAATATTTTTTTTTTCATTTATACTTTTCTTGATAAATAATCACCACCCCTTGACTTCCTTATTCTCTTCAACTTAAACATCTTGTCTACTTCCTTAGCTTGCAAACTTCCTTAGGCCTTCTTATTTATTCTTTTACTGTACATATCAAACTCTTTGAGCCAGTTATTCATCTTTGTGGCCACTAAGCTTAACATTATACTTATGTCATGCTCGCCTTGTCTCATTGATTCTTCATCTCTTATGAGTCTTACCATTTCTATTACTTATAGACAATGTAGAGAGGGAACTCATTCTATTGCGTCAATTCTCTCAAAGCTACCTCAACTCTCTCAACGTTAAGGTCGCCACCATACCTTTATGTCAAAGCACAAGCTCATACCCCTACTTGCCTGACTTAACTATATACCTCTCTGATATCTAGTCATTAATTGCCTTTAGCTAGGGAGTGTCTTAATTCTAAGTTACTGACTACCTATATTTTTTCATGAGAATCTATCATCATTGTCTCTCTAATTGACCCATCTTTTACTGAGGTAGTAGTATTTGTCTAGCTACTGAACATGACAGTGACTTGATAGTTACTTGTAGCGTAAGAAAATGTTCTTTCAAACCTTTTTTAGTACTAGTTAGCCTCAAGGGATATCTTATCCCTATATTATTCTTGGCCACCTTTTACTTTATACTTTTATTGGAGTAAGGTCAACTCCTCTTTGGCTTGCCTCGATTGCACTTTCTTTTTCTCTCAAATGACCAATTCCCACCCTCCTGGGAAAACTCAACGGCCAAGACTTTCTCTTACTAGGTCTAGCAATAAACTATTTTTAGGTTTTTCAAAAAAAATCTTACTTATCACAATAACTCTTCTACTAACATGTCATCACTTAAGCATCATGTCAAGAAATCACATCTAAAAATTTATTATTTAACCAAGTACCTTATTCATGTACCTCACATCATAGGTACTTTATCAAACCCAAACTTTATTGAGTATCTAAATAGTTGGGGAAACATATTCATTCCATCATACCATTATTGGTATAATGTTCATCTTTTAACATCTTCGTCTATTCCTCTTTGTTTTCTTTCCCAAGAAATTCATTGGGATTTGCTAACTTATGTTTTTTTTTTTTTAACTTTCACATCTTGGACCATTTCCTATTCATATGATCACTTGTTTATTATTATACTTTCTAAACATAATACTCAACATACATACATCATTCAACTCAAACATTTACACATTTTAGTTGATCATGCAGTACGGTCAAGTATCTAACTCATGATCAATCATTACTAAGCCTAACACAACCACATAATTTAAAGCAACCACTTATGTGACCCGCATCTCTATTCATATTTAGGCTTTGCCTGAACCTCTGTCAAATCCTCACTTGTAAGATTCTAGATTGTGCTTGCTTCCAAGCTTTTTTATGCTCATATTTTTACATGTCTCAATGCTAGGTTTTAAATCATATTACATGAACTAAAACTTGATTAAATTCACTGCTCCATGGAGAAACAAAGATATTTAATGACAAAAAATAAGATATTTATTTGTTATACACCATTTATATACTATTATTAGTTGTCCGTCTCTTCTATTACTTGATCTAAGAATGCAAGAATCGTTTCCACTTAGTAATTTTAGGAGGATAATCTATGACAGTGATACAAAAGAATAAACGTGTGTAAGACTCACTTTTTTTTTCCCCTATCTTTTTCTTTAATATATGCTGTATGTAAATGTTTATAAGATCAATGCACAAATCCAAATATAAGAGTGATGCTACTAGCTGAGATTAACTCTAAGGCTGTATTGTGGACTGAACAAGTGGAAATCAACTGTTAAAACTCTGTGAACCCTTGCATTGCCAATTTGCCTCCTTGACACCAAGACCTGAAAAACCAAACCATCCATTGCTGGTTACCAATAAAAGTTGGTACAATTAGTAAGAATTTGGTCCATAACTCACAAAGTCGTGAGTTTAAATCTCACTGCTGATGTGAGAACCTTATTAATGGATCATCTGTAAATATTTCTACAAATGCTCTTTGAGCACAAAAGCATACCCTGACCCTGGTAAACTCCTAAAACCCAACTCAACCCAACTTTTTCTTATAAAAAAATTATATAGTCATACATACACACATAATTGTCAGGTAATGATCACAGAAATATAATGAAGATTGCATGCGCACCTTGAATTTCATGCAATCAAGTCTAGTTCATGGGGCTAAGTCCTGAACAAGGCAGCCAATCATGTAATATTTTCTTCCGAGTCTACAGCCCAATCATAGGACTTTTGCACCAGAAATTACTTGACTAAGCAAGGATGTCTGCCCAAACAAGTCTCTCACCGGTGTTCTATCCCTGATCTTCAAACACTTTCTGGAGAAGCTCCCATTATTCTTGCCTAAAAGGAGGAGACTCAGGTTGAAATTTCTCTTCACTAGTAACCATTAAGCCTTGGATCTAAGACTGTCAATCCTTTATTTAGGCTTCCAGTTTCGGCGGCTGTCCATGTAATTTCTCCATGACTTTAAACCCTTCTGCTTCTAATGATTGTTTTGAGTACTGTGTGCCGCCAAGGCTAATGATGCAATAACTGTTGGAGGTTTGGAGTCCACTAAGAAGTTGCTTTCTGGCCCTTTTCCCCTTTCACCTCTGCAAAAGCTTCTTTCAATAATTTGTATACTCTTTCCTTTTCCAAAGCTTCTTGTAGCAGGTTGCATCATCACTACTACAACTCCAATGATGCGTTTCAAACATATCAAGCTGATGCTGACAATAAGAGAATTATAAAACTGTGACAGTTCAATCTCCTTGCCTCAACACATGAAGGTGAAACTCGATCTCAAGGACAAGAGTGTTCTTCACAGATAGAACATGTCTCCTTGAATGCCTCGCAGATCTCCTTGTCCGAGCCTTGCAAAAGAGAAAATTGCCACCAAATTCATTCATCCTTGAGTTGATCAACAAAAACATGATCATTTTCTTTTTTCTTTTTTTGTGCTTGAAACACCCATATTTTTGTATGTGAAATATCACTAGAGACAATCATCCTTCTGTTTGTAGCAAAAACTCATGAGAACACTGGGATCATTGAAGGTAATCGTTACCATTTAGTTCATGCCTCGTGACAGGAGAGTACAGTCTGAATGAATTATGTGATGCTGTCAGAAGGTGGTCCCAGCATTTTTGGCATTAAATTGCATCATTGAGCCAAAGGCAATCATACATTCGAGTCAAACTCTTTGGTCTCTGATTTCTCATACCATTAAGGCACCTCAGAGTTTTTCATGCTGTGAAATATATAACTACAAATAGAGGGCTGGTGGCTAAAGAACAACCAATTCCAAATGCCACGAAATCTGGGAACATAATTGGAAATTAGAAAATATCCTCCGATGGGTAGATACGAGGGAAATGATAACAAAACAAGATTGACCATCTAAGCTGAATAAGGAAGCAAACTAACATTGATAAAAGAATGGGAAAACATTACTTAGGGTCCTTGTATTTTTTTCGCATTTTGCTATAGGTCCCCACACTTTTTTTTTTTTTTTGTGTTCTAGGTCCTCATACTTTTATTTTTTTGGTATTCTAAGTCCTTCCATGAACAAAGTGTAGGGACTAAGGAGGGACCTATGACACCGAAAAACAAAAGCATAGGAACCTCGATTATCCAAAAAAAGTGTAGAGACCTATAGTAACAAAACGTGAACAAAATGCAAGGATCCTAAGTTATGTTTTCCCTAAAAGAAAAAACATGCCAAAAAGTAAATGCCATCTAATAGATATGTTAGACAGTAGACACATATCCCCAAAAAAAAAAAATCTTCAATCTCTCTCTCTCTCTCTCTCTCTACAATCTTCACACCCTTTTGTTCCCAGCAAAACACCCATTAATGCAAGAACTCATATCGTTGAATTTCCAATTTACCAAATAGTTGGAAATAGAATTAAAAGATGTACAAGGGGTCAAAGACCTTTGAATCTAATTGAGAATGAACCTGGCACGCAGTTTCAGATGCCCAACCAGCAATGGGTCCTTGAAATCAGACCAGAGAACATAAGCTGATGCACCAAAGCAAGGGAGCAAATGAATATGATCTGCACCATAAAAAAACCTTGCCTGTGCATTTGCAGTCTCTTTTCCTTTTATTCTTTCTTTTTTTTTTTCCAGTAAAATTGCCCATTACAGATAAGTAGTCACAGTCTTACAAACTTAGATAGCTCTCTCCAAGCTGTTTCAAAGTAGAAAGTCCATTGCCTATGCAATTGATGATACAAAGGGGCCTAAGTGCAAAAGCACATTTTCACATCACAAGTAGTGATACAATTATAATAAACTCTAAGATTTTAATCTTAGAGAACTTCAACATTTTAATCTTTTATCTAGAGAACTTCACCAATGATACAATCATTACTTTAACCTTTTTATGTCAACTGTGGGAGGGGAGGGACCAATCAACTGCTCCTCCATTCCCATGTTTGCCCACAAACTACTTTATGTAATCCTCATTAAAACATGCAAGTTCACTATTTCAACCAGCAAAACTATTAAAAGCGAATGGCTGATGATGAAGGTTCAAACCATTTCATATTAAGCTCCAAGATTTTAATCTAAGAGGCCTTCACCATTTTAATCTTTTATCTAGAGAACTTCACAATGATATACAATCACTACTTCAATCTTTTTTATGTCAACTGTGGGAAGGGAAGGACCGATCACATGCTGCACCATTCCCAGGTTTGCCACAAACTGCATTCATGCAATTCTCAGAAAAACATGCAAATTCACCCTTTCAACCAGAAAAACTATACCTGCTTGACCAGATCTTCCTATTCCTGATTGTACTCGTGTTCCATCAGTCACTTCCAGTCTGCGCAACAGATGTTTTAGGTTGACCAGGGGTCTCTTTGAGAAGCCAACGGACGTTCTGCTAAGATAATAAAAGAACAAAAATGTTAAAAATGAATATTCCAAAACAATGAAACAAATACTGTGAAAGCTTGAATAAGCAGTGAAGCCAAGAGGGAAAATATGAACTTTTGTTTTACTAAGAATGTGATAGAGATACACACACTGATATTTAATGCATTTCCATAAAATTATTAAGAGGAAGCAAAATCACTATTGACTTATACAAGTGAACTAACTTTAAAGTATTAGCATCATCTATACGCTCAATCCAGTACATAAACTAACCTAAATTTTTAGCGTTCCTACTGTCAAATTTTCAAGATCAGCCTAAGTTCCAATTTCAAGCTTCTCAAAGAGTATAGCCATAGCATCCTATGGTAAATGATTATCAGACATAATCAATTATCCTATTTCAATTGATCTGCCATCGCAACCACAGACCAAACAGCCAAGAGAGTTATACAAGCTCAAGAACTTCATTTGGACCACAATGACGTCAAGTACCAAACTCAGATTCCACAATATAGAAATAAATATAAGATTGGTTCTGCCCAACGAAGTTTTTATCAAATTAAAATTACCCCAACGGATAAGATTCCAGTACAACTAGAGCAGTTTCATCAAGATATTTTTTTTCAAAGTATGAAGCTTTCAAGTATTCATTAAAAAACCAAAGAAAGAAACAAGCTTTCAATATGAAGCACATTCCTGCCATTAAAAATGCAAGCAGAATGTATACTATTTGCATATCTAAGGAAATTTTGACAAAAATGTCTAAGAAGCTGTTTGGTACATTGTTATCCAACATTCTGCAGGATATTGGAAATCTCAGTATAAGATATCAACAACAACAACAAGCCTTTATCCCACTATCAGTATAAGATATCAAGGGAATTTAAAATTTCAATATCTGGTATGATGATTGAAAATTTCCATAGTATACTATAGTTAGGTACTTTATAAAAGCTAAGAATGGCATGATGTAAGATCCCAATGATTTTTGGGTGGCAAGAACCATCCAAAATATGTCATCCTATGCAGTCACTGAATCTTGGATGACACCAGATTAGGAACCAATATACCAAACACAGGCATCTTGGATGCAACCTAACATCCAAAATACTAGAGCCGAGATGACAATCTATTAGATGCACCCGACTAATGTTTTGAAACTAAGAGAATATAGAAAGAGAAAGGGTGACAAACCATTTGACATATGCTATCTGATAATTCAAGTGCTTCTTGCCACCTATCAACCCTAGTAAGGCCTTTGATGAGATGAACAAATGTGCTAAGCTCCGGAACAATATTCCTACTTATCATGGTTGCATATAGCTCAAATGCTTTGTCAACCTTACTTGCATGTGACAGACTCTCAATCAATGAGGCATATAAATGTTTATTGGCATCTTCAAAACTTGAAGACAAGGGAACTTCTTCTAGTAACTTTAAAGCAGCCTCTAGTCTATCAGCCTTGACAAAATTATCAATTAAAACTCTGTAAACGGGAAGCATAGGTACTGATTCATTGTCAGCCAACTCATTTAAAAGCCCAAAAGATGTTATAAATTCTCTGCTAAAACCTTCAACAATTTTACGATAGCTTGAGATATGTTTTGGCCAATATGTTTGATTCATTTCATCTAAAAGTTTGTGAGCCTCATCAAGAAGGCCAGCAGAACAACAATGATTTATCATGACCCTGTAGGTTATAAAGTTTGGAGCACAACCTTTAGAGCACATATCTCTCAATAGCTCAAGGCACATTTCAATTTTACCTAATTTCCCAAATCCATCAATCATTGCAGTATAAGTTACAACATTTGGATTGCATCCCTTTTCCTGCATCTTAAGCAAGAGCTTGTAAGCCTCATCTGTCTTTCCAACTTTGCAGAGACCGTCTATCATCTCTGTGTAAATAACAACATTGGGAACACAAGAATTCTCTAGCATCTTGGACAAGACCTTCAAAACAAGATCCAACCTTTTATCTTTAAACAGCACATCAATTAAGGAGCCATAGGTATACAAATTTGGGCTGTATCCACGCTCTGACATCTTGGCAAACACCTCTTGGGCATCCTCAAGCTTTCCAGCCTTGCAAAAGCCATCTATAAGAGCATCATACACTATATGGTTAGGCTCACAACCTTCAACAGACATAGAATTCAACAGTTCATGGGCCTCTTTGACCCGTTTTGCTTTACATAGACCATCCACCAAAGCCCCATGCGTAATAACATTTGGTTTTTCATAGTTGTTGTCATTTGACCTAAAATAAATGTCCATATCTGAAGTTTCTATGTTACCTCTCATTCTGGCATAGATTTGGCATGCTTTTTCAACCTGCCCAGCCTTGCAAAGGCCATCAATTAAAGCTGTATAGGTTATAACATTGGGCTTGCATCCTTCAACCAACATCATCTCAAACAGTTCATTTGCATTGGACACCTTTCTGGCTTTCAGGTATGCATGAATAAGAGCAGTATAAGTCACCACATTAGGAGTGCAACCATTTCTCACCATTTCATCAAACCATTTGCGAGCCTGTTCAATGAGACCAGCTTTGCAGAAGCTATCAATTAAAATCGTATATGTATAAACACTAGGAACAATACCATTTCTTTTCATCTCTTCAAACAACAAAAATGCCTTCTCCACCTTTGAGACATCACAAAGGAAACCAATCACTTTGGAATATGTACTATCATCAGGAATGAAACCCTTGCTCATCATTTCATGTATAATCTTAAAAGCTTTATCAAATTTTCCAGCCCCACAGAGACACCGTGCGAAGTTGCTAACATTGATCTTATTTAAAACAACTCCTGCATTAAGCATCTCAGTGTAAGCTTTTTCAGCCAATTCTAACATATCTAAGGATGGGATTTCTTCATTGCCACATATACCACCAATCAATATATTGTAAACCAAGTAGCCCGGCTGACACCCACATTTATTCATTTTCTTAAACAATTTATAGGCATAAGGGTAATCCCTTGATTTGCAATAAGCATGTACTAGAGAATTAAATATCTCACGACTTGGGTAACAGCCTTCAGTAATCATCAAACTAAGAATTCTCTTGCATCTGCCCAGCTGTCCTTTCTTTAAACAACCAGAAAGCAAACTCCTATAAGTCACAACATTAGGAATGCATCCGTCAGAACGCATTCTGTTTAAGATATCCATAGCTTCGTCAAAATGTGAAGCTTCACATAATCCAGAGATCATCCTATTATAAAAAACAGTATCTGGAACATATTCCTCCTTCTCTATCAATGTAAGAGCATCCCTTAGCCTCCCTGCTTTGCAGAGGGAATAGGCAAAACAACTCAGAGTAAACCCATCCATATCAAATCCATAATTGGACATCTCCTTGTAAACCAAATAAGCCGTATCTAATTTGCCAGCTTTAAGGAAAACTTGAACCAAGGCGTTATAAGTTGTCTTCGAGGGCTTGTACCCATAATCTTTCAGTCTCCCTAGTTCTTCCAACGCCATACTCCACAACCCATTACGGCAACACTTCCTTACCAGAACATCGAGCAACTTCCGGAGCAATTCGCTATCTTCATCCTTTATTTCTCTTAAGAATTTTTCCTGAACTCTCTCATCATCGTTACAACACAATATATCCAAAAGAGCATTATACACCGCTAGTGTATGACTATAACCGATTTGACGCCCCGCCCATAAGAAAAACTTAACACACAGTTCAGGATACTTCACATGATTCAACACCTCTACAACTAAAGTTTCGTTCAATTTTCCCCGAAACTGCCTGAGAAATTTCTGGGTTTCATAACCAAACTCATCCCTTTGGCTCCTAATAGCATTCGACATCAATACAGCCTCATCAGACAACTCACCAGAATAAACCTTTAACAACGAAGGCCCGCATTCGCCACTCGAATCCGACAACCCATTGCGTAAAAACGAGTATTCCTCTGCCAAATCGATGGAAGGGCGAGAACTATCCTGTAAAAAAGTGTCATCAGGATGAAGCAACCCTTCAAGATTGTCCTCCGATGAAGTGGCAAAAGATCGAGCAATGGTGTATGGAAATTTGAAAAAGTATGACGAAAGAGAGTATTTAGCGGAGGATTTCAGAGAGCGTAAAGACTGAGAGAGTAAAATCTTCAACTCTGTTTTGCTCATAATAATGATGATGGACAAAAAAGATCAAAAGGTATGCGTTGGAACTAGGTTTTAGGAGAGGGTTATGACATTGTGCCCGTCCCTGCAAAAGAATCAAACTTGAGCTACACACTGGCCTCTGGGGGACGGACATGGAAGAGGGAGCAAAGCAGGTTGTCGTGTTCATGACAATAGGTTAGTGTATTTTTCTTCTATTTCTTCTTCTTTTTTTTTTGTTACAATAGGTTAGTGTATTTTGATTGCTTTATTGTAATTATTCTGTTTAAACTCAATACACAAATTTTGATTGCTTTTTTTGTCAATTTATTTTCATGTCAACAAAAAATACTCTCTTCATCTTTATCTGGGAGAAGCTATCACTTTTAACGTATTTTTTAATATAAGTAAAATCACCTCTTTTAATAAGTATTTATTATATATTTTTTAAATCACCTCTTATAATCTACATCAATAAAAAATATTTAATACATGTTTATGCTAATTAACATAGCACATTTCAATTCAATTTTTTAATTTTTAAACATAATTATTATTGTTAACTAACTTTCTTGAATTATATGATACAGTTTTTTTTCTCTTATATGTAAAAGTGGGAGGAGTATAATTACAACAAAATTACTTCAATGTCATTTTAAATTGTATTTTTAAAATTATAAAGACTATCATTATGAATTAATCAAATTAAAGGAGTTGGAAATAACCAAATAGAAAGTATAGAAATTAAAAAATAAAACACAATCAAAATATATATAATCTATTTCTATGTTTTTCATTAAAAAAAAAAAGCACAGAGAAAAAGTACAAGCTATCACTTTCACACGTTAGCCCAAAAAAAATAAGGATAAGAATCATTTTTATCCTTAAACTATATCCAAAAAATCATAAATAATCTTAAACTCAATTATAAATTAATTTTATCCTTCAACTTTAAAGATTTCATTTATTATCACCCTACCGTTTTCTCATCATGAGTTGACAGATAGTGGGCTCCACATTATTTTTTTATTATAAAATATTTAAATTTAAGATGTTCATTGACCTTCAAATAAAAATTGAGGAGCCAAAATAACTCTTAACTCTAAAAAAATATTTGAAAATAGTGGGACTTACTGATAACTAGTAGACATTAAGTGTTTTTAAAGTCAGGGTGATGACAGAGTGAATTTTTAAAGTTAAGGGATAGAACTAACTCAAAATTGAGTTTATGATTATTTGTGACTTTTAGTGTACAATTCAAGATAAAAAATAACCATTAACCCAAACAAAAAAAAACCCCTAATAGCATGTCAATTTTAATTTTTCTCCCTTTTAATGCAGGTAAGAAAAAGAGAGTTTTTTTTTTTTGCCAACCAAAAAAACAAAAGAGAAGTTGAATTGCCATATTGTTGAATCATGTGTTTTAATAATTACAAAACCAAAAGAAGAGGTATTGCTATATATGCAGATATATAAAGAATCATGGATGAAAACAATACCTTAAGAGCATGAAAAATCAAGAAAAGATGAAGCTTTATAGGATAAGTTATTTAATTATTTTAGATTTAATGTGAAAACTGAGAGCTTAATCACATGTTATCATCCCTGAAATGAATGCTTTATTCTTAGGCTTACAAGTCTCATTTATGCATTTTAAGACTTGTCTTAGTATTTTAAGTTTGTGAGTTATGTCATTTTAGCTTAAGTTGGATCATAGAAATTGAGCTTTTCACTGTCTGATGATTCACACGTGATTCAATATGGTCCCATGCATGATTTGTCATCTTAGACATACTGACTGACGTTTCACGCTTGAATCAGGAGTGATCCATGCATGATTTTTCCCTCGTGTTTGTGTGATGCCTTAACAAAACTTATGTGCTCCAATTTACACAAGCCACCCTTGGGTACGCACGCTTGAATTGTCACCTTATGTTCCTTTACATATTATGGAGTGTCATTCCACACCTGAATGAGAAGGTATCCATGCGGTAATTTTCATTAAGTCTTTTGAATACATTTTGTCTAAATGAGTCTTAAGTCGTTTCAAGCATATTCGTATCGTACATTTGTGTGATTTTTCACTCTTCATTCTAAGTCTATCAATCATGCAATTCTTGCTTGAAAGTGCATTAGCTTCACTCATGATTTGTCTTCTAGAATAGTTGAGTTTTGCAACTAGCCATTTCACGTGTGTGTGTGTGTGTTAAAGTGTTCCACTCGTGATCCATCTTCCAAAATAGTTTTTGTAACATCATAAGTTCCCTCATTAGTAATTATCAGTGTTTTCAAGGGTAATTTAGTTAATTTAGATAAATTGTTATTTAGCGAGGTTTATGGAGATTAATATGATTTTTGGATCCTTGGACAACCTTAGAAGAAGGCTAGGTCGAGATTCAAGCAGGCTATGGCACGAAAGGAAGTTTAAAATTTTATGGGGCTTTTTGTGTCATGCGCCACGGCGCACGGGCAAAATCAGCACTTATCATATTGTAGAAATAGACCGAAAACAAAAGAAAGAAGAAGGAAAAATGAGAGAGCGATGAAAGAGAGCTTTTAATCTGCTAGAGCACGATCTCTAGGCTACTTTGAGGGCATTTGAAGCTTAATTCACCATTGGGTAAGTTATACATTCCCTTTTTTCCCTCCTTTATGCGAAAATCTGAACATTTGGGGTAATTGGGGCTTTGATTTTGGTTCCCTTAGGTTTAAACCGAACCCATTGAGTTATTTAAGATCTTGGAGAGTTAAATCAAACTTATAACCTAAAGTTTATGAGTTTTGTGATGATTGAGAATTTTTGGTAAGGGTTTGGACGAACCCTAAATATAATTTAAGGATTTTGAGACATTGTGGGACATTGATTAGCAAATTTAGTGTGTAGGAATGTTTAATAGGATGGTTAGAGTGTGTGGGAATGGTTGGTATTGTTAGAAAAGGAATTTGAGTATTTTAAGCACTTAGAACCTAATGATTTCGGAGTTATCCGAAGTGATAATTAACGATTATCACTCATTGGTGTGGATTAAGCATTTCTCGGGCTATATCATGTGTATAGAACGTGTGCAGCTAACGTTGAGTCACGGTAATCCTTTTTGTGTGACAAAAGGGTTGAGGTAACCATCTAATTTATTGTAGTTATTAAATATTATAACTATGTAAAAATAGTTGCAAATGATAAGGTTGTGGTTTTGAAGAGTTTTTGTGCATAATTTGATATTGTAAATGATTTTAGCATGAAAAGTGTTTTGTAAATGGTTATTGTTTCTAATTGAAATATATATACTATGTATATAAGTGTAATGTGAAAATGTGATGAAAAGTAGTAGAAATTGTGAAAAAGCATGATCATAGGAAATGAGAGTTCACCTGAGATATGTGGGAATATACGTGTGTAGAGATATATGAGTGAAAATCCATATGGTCGGGTTGACACCATGGGACATCCAGTGCAGCATTACATGGGACTGTTACCATGGGACATCCAGGCAGTCTGGCAACTCCCTACTACCATTGAGGGTGCGGTTAAGAGTCAATGACGCCTCTATCACAAGTGTGTGAAAAGAGAAAAACTATAGTCCGTAGGCAGGTTAGATTACCTTTGGCCGGGTATTTCTACCTCCAAAAGTGTGCTCTGGTCAACAAGTAGTTGAACCAGAAGAGCTTATAGTTTCATGTCAGGGAGCATTAAAGGTTCGATGGTTAGATGATCATGTTAGTATAAAACCATGTGTTTTGGTGAGAAGAGATACACATATCTCATAATTTTTGGTATGCTTGATAATACTATGGTTTTGATACTTTTTTATGATTATTTGTGGTGATGAACATTTAATGAGCTATATTGGTTATTGAGATGTTTATCTCACCCCGTGGTTATATTTTATAGGTAAAGGCTCCGGTAGGGGCAAGGGGAAGGAAGGGGGCATTTGAAAAGTGAAGAGCATCATTGTATAGCTCTTTCCTTTTCTCTTTTTATGTGTTGTAACGAATATTGTTGATAATTATTGCCAACTTAGGAACATGACATTATTTAGATATCACTTGTATAAAATTATAATAAGTATATATATCTTGGTCCAAGAATGATGATAGGAATTAATTGTGTGCTTGGCCAAATTGCTTACAAGTGATACACACACACACACACACACACATATATTAAGTGTTTTGAGTGTCAAAATAACTAATTGATTGATGTGTTGAATTTTGTTCACCCATTATGTTTTTGTCCAATGGGGCTTTGGTGGTCATTTTGAGTATGATTGCTTAATTATGTGATGTGAATGGATTGTTATGTGATGTATAGTCCATTTGAGGTAGTCAAGTTATCTCCGGGGCTAATGGCATTGTGTATTGTGAGTTGGACACCATAATATGTGTTTCGTTGTGAAAATGAATCATTTTGGGTTCGAATGTTCATCTTTTAAATGAATGATTATTTGAGTGTGAGACTGGTGCCATTAGCTAGAGGGCTCAAAGAGTTTTGTGTGGACACTTGAATTGCTCAAATCAGATGTCGGATGGCGAAATGGCGTGCTTTGAAATTTCAGAGAGATGCCATGACAGCAGGTGCGCACTGCGGTACGCATTGGGCTATCGAGAGACTTGTTCCTCTGTGCCATCCGCCGTGGCGAACGGACCAGTATTTACTGAAAAATAGCATTTAAGCCAAATTTTGATGTAATTTGTTTCCTATGCTTCCGTATTTGCTTTTAATCAATTTTTAACTATGGTTTGAACTCAAACTATATTTTAAAAATGGTTTTCTTGGGATCCCAATATTTTAACTAATTATCTTTAAACTATTGAGTTGTGGTAACTTCTTCTGAGGATTTTATTTAATCCGAGTTATCACAATGATGTGTGAGTGTTGTCCTGAAATATCAGGGCGAACATTATAGTTTTGGTTTTGGAACCAAACATTCCACGTGTGATAAAGGGTTGGTCCCATGCATGATTCATCATATAGAATGGCTTTGATATTTTGTCAGTCATTTCACGCGTGAGAGTCCTAGAGTCACACGTTTTGTTTTGTTACACAGAATGATTTGCATATTCTTATCCTCCAAAACATGCATGAGACACCCTGATGTTCATGCTTGAATTGTCACAGATACTTGATTAGAACTTGGCTAGCTCCATTTCAGGCGTAAATCATCTGGTTGCATGCAAGAAATGTCACCAACGGTTATAAACACCGTTCC